CGGTAAAATGCTTCGCTTTTGTGAAACCAGCTTGGTCCAGCACCTCTCGCAGCTACGGTACCAAGACTCCACTTCTGCGAACACCTTCGCGTCTGAGCTCCAATTCGTCGCACCTGTGCACTCGCATCTGCACCAAATTCTTCGCTTCTGCGATCTTTCTCACACATCATCTTCTCGCTTCTGCGATGGACAACCCGCATCTGCGAAGTCGCTTATGCGACCAAGACTCTGCAAATGCGGCATACCAGTACCAGCAAATCTTCAACAATGCAACAAGATGAAAAATGATCTGAACCACGTCCGAAACTCACCCGAGCCCCTCGGGCCCCCGTCCGAATATACTAACAAGTTCTATGACATAACACGGGCCTATTCAAGGCCTCAAATCACTCATAACAATATCAAAACGACGAATCGCACCTCAAATCAAACTTAAATGAACTTTGAACTTTCAACTTCCAAAACGCGTGTCGAAACATAACAAATCCACTCGGAATGAACTCAAATTTTGCACACAAGTTCCAAATGACATAACGAAGCTATTCCAATTCCCGGAACCACAATCTGAATCCGATATCCACAAAGTCAACATCCTATCAAACTTATGAACTTTCCAAACCTTCAAATTTTTAACTTTCGCCAATTAATGTCGAATCATTCTAGTCACAACCAAATGCACATTCGGGCATACGTTCGGGTCCAAAATCACCATCCAGACCTAATGGAACCATCAAAATGCCGTTCCGGGGTCAAATTCACAAAAGTCAAACTTGGTCAACTCTTCCAACTTAAAACTTTAATGATGAAATTTATTCTTCCAAATCAAACTCCGGATTGCCTGAAACCAAAACCGATGATACACACCAGTCATAATATATTATACGGAGCTACTCATGCCCCCAAACTACCGAGCGAAGTGCAAATGCTCAAAATGACCGGTCGAATCATTACAAGAATATAATTTACATACAATTATAATACAACTTTAATACAATTTCGTAAGTATATTGTATGTCATGTGTTCTTCTTCTTCTTCGAGTTTCAATTTGAAATTCAACCAAAATCAAGTTTAATTTTCACCAAACACTCTCAAAATTGAGATATAAACTCTAAACAATATTCCCAATTGTTTGTAACAACACTCAATCTAAATAAATAATGATTTTTGAAAACCCAATTTCGAATTCAAAGCTTCAAAGCTTTTTAATAGCTCTCAATAGTGGAGAGTCAAACACCTTCAAAATTTATTGATTGACAACTTAAATTTGAATACCTCTTGTGCAACATGAAAGGAAATTTCTAAGTTAAAACTCTATAATAAAACGATTAAAATTCATTGATGAATTCTATTAAAACTATATACAACATGAAAGGATAAAAAGTAGAGAACATCAAAGGAAGAAAAATTATAGAAAGAACAGAGAAAGAAAGATAGAGAACGAGAGAGAGAGAGAGAGAGAGAGAGAGAGAGAGAGAGAGAGAGAGAGAGAGAGAGAGAGAGAGAGAGAGAGAGAGAGAGAGAGAGAGAGAGAGAGAGAGAGAGAGAGAGAGAGAGAGAGAGAGAGAGAGAGAGAGAGAGAGAGAGAGAGAGAGAGAGAGAACATGGATGGGAAATAACTGATTCCTTATTCAATTCCTAATATAAATGGATACTCATTTAAAATTAATTTGTATATAATCGGTAAATTATATATGACTGTGTAATTAAGTTAAAACTTGATTAGAAAAGGTAATAAAGTTTCATATATAGTATAGGATGGTAAAAACTCCTAGTTGTAATATGTTTGGGCTTGAGGGACATTTATAGTCTATGGAGAAAAACACGGGCTAATAAAATTTTGAGTGGCTATAGAGAATCGTTTTCTCCCTATTTTAGTGAAAGTTTTGTTGGTTATTCCTTTTTGTATTAGTTGTTTAGTAAATAATTATTTTATTATTTCTCAAAAGTCAAATTTGCACAACTTTTAAAAATAAGGTTAAAAGGGGACATTTGCGTAAACCAGCCCATGTTTTAACGGGGCTTTTACAATGTATGTCCTATTTTGACAGTGTCAACGTGAAATCGAAAGGAAGAACTAGAAATTGTTTCTTTTCCTTTTAGAGATGGAAGCTTGCATCATCTATTCGTTGCATATTTGGACCTATTTAAGGGAGTGCAACTCAAGCCCAAGTGTGAATATTTTATAAAACAAGCACTTCTACTTTCAAGTATAAATGATGCTATTTTTTTTAAATAATAGTTAAAAAAGGATCAAGCGTGTAAAAAACTTTATTATATAACTGTCACAGTTTAAAAGAAATATAATAATTTTTTAGCATGAAACTCAATATTACAGTTGTGGCAGGAAAATATTTATATTTGTAGCACATAGTTCTATTAAAATAGGAATATTAATTATTAATCCGTAAACATAAGCAATTTGAATGAAAAGTCAATAATTCTTTGTACAAAAATCATGCCTTTTTTTCTCTCTATCTATTATCTTTGCTTCTTTTTCTTTATCTTCTTAATTTTATTTTCTGCTGAAACCAATATATTTTCTAAATTTGTTCCATTCGTTTTCTTTTTAATTATCTTTCTCAAGTTTTTCTCTTCCTTCTTTTTCCTTTCTTAATATAAAGATCTTACTTCGATAATAATATATGTTAATATATACAAAACGTATATATAAAAAAATATACATTGAATTAACACATATAAAATATATAAAAAATATACATAAAAAATATATCTTCAATTAATATGACACTTAGACATGTGAAATATACATAAAATATATATCTTAAATTTAATTAAGATGGCATATAAATATACAAAAAAATATACATAAAAAATACATCCTGAATTAAAATGGCACTTGACATATAAAATATATTTGAAATATACATTAAAAATATATCTTAAAATAAGATGGCACTTCACAAATAAATATACAAAAATTATATACATAAAAATATATTTTGAATTAAAGTGATACTTGATATACAAGGTATAAAAGACGTATAAATCAATATATCTTGAATTTAGGTGGCATTCACATATGCATCAGATTTTCACAAATGGAGTGAAGAAGATGAATGTTGGAAAGGAAGAATGGAGATGGACAAAAAAAATACTTCCTGTGATTAGTGAGTCATTTAACTTATTAAATATTGAGCTTAATTTTTATAATATGTTAATAATAAAAAAAAGGTGCTATTTATGGAATAAACAATAAATAATGCTATTTTTTTAAATAATAATTAAAAAATGATCAAACGTGTAAAAAACTCTATAAGGATAGCCTATTAATTCGTAATTGGTTTCTCTCAATGAGCTCTATGATCAAACTTTCAAACTCTACACCGTTGCTTTGTTAAATCTACTCTACTCCACCCCCTAGTAATTTTCATGTGATAAAATTTTGCAGTTGGTTTAATATTACTTTTTCACTTTTTGTACATTTTCTAACACATACACACGTACACATGTATATAATGTTATCGACAATTGCATTAGAACAACAAATAAGAGACATTGGATTATGGACACATGTAAATACACAAAGTGATGATCACAACTCTCTGAAACTCAAAGATGGAGTATAGTTTCGAGATTCCTTAATTTTTGAAAAATTAACCACCACCCAACTAGTTAAACTAAAAATAGACATCAAAGGTATATATATATGAATTCATGTATAATTATATATAATTAGTATATAATTTTGTATATCGACTAAAAAAAATAAATTATAAATTTAGCCGACTATTTGTGCAAACATTCCTAATTTATATAGGCTGATTTGGTGCTATGGATTACATACTCACAAGCCCAAGTCTCTTTAGATGGATAGCAAAAATTGGACTCAAAGTCTCAAACTCCCAATTTCTTTCTTCTTCGGCAAGTCGACACTTGATACTCTTTCCATCTCTTTCTCCGGCGAAATCCAGCTGTAAGTTTTAATCTTTTCCCGACAATGCTTACAATCTCAATATTTATTATTCTTTTTTTTTCCTATTGTGAAAATCTTGTTTTACAATATACTAGCTTTTTTCCTATATCTTTTTATTTATTTTAATTTCTGTATATCAGATTTTTTTGTAAAGAAAAGATGTGAAATTTGGAAATGTATGCAAAAATGTGAGGTCTCATTTAGAGCATATCTATTTCGTAGTGTAGGATGGTTCTGATTGTACTGATTAATCACTTTTTTATTCATCTACTTAGTGCTGAAATCAGGCTTTGGGGGGGGGGGGTATGCCTTGTGTCGTTAGATGAAAGTACTTAAAGAGAAAGGTAGGAGTAGAAGATATTTAACTGGAAACTGATAAGTGGAGACAATAGTAAGTGCATATTAGCTGATTTATAAAAGTTGATTGAACAGGTTAAATTCAAGCAAGTCACCCAATGGAAAAGAATAGCAACTACCACTGCGCCTCAGTCCCGAGGAAGTTGGGATTCACTATGTGTCCTTATTTTGAATGTCGTTCCATTTAAGCTCACCTCAATCCAAAGGGAAAAAAAGTTTTCATTGATTTTGGGAAATTAATTTCTGAAATTTGTTTTCACTTTTAAAGAAGTACTAATAGATAATCATGTTAAAGGTGATATTGCTGGACAACGCACTTCAATCATGTTGGCATATAACCTTGATGCTTTCTGGATTGCTTATGAATTTACACTTTGGCTTTTTAAATAACAACATAGAAACTACAACTAAATGCAAAGTAGAATTTAAAAGATATTACTGGCGAAACTTGGATATTTCTCACTCATAAAAATGATAGGCCTAAATGGAGAAGAATAGGGAAAAAGGAGGAGTAGATATGCTAGAGGAATGGGGTGGGAATTTTCTCTTTTGGGAAGCAGGGAAAATTGTTAACCTTTTGCTTGGCACTAGGTTCTATCCAATGTGCTTAGAGATAGACCGAGAAAGGGGGGGGGGGGGT